GCAGCCTCTCCATATGAGAAGGAATCCGTGCAAGGATCCTGACGCCGTGAAAAATCTGAATATTGTGGCACCACCAAAGGATCGCACTAGCTCTCTAGTGATAGACGCTGAAAACAATGGAAACTCAGAAAGGACAGATAAAGAATGAGACTGAGACAAAAACATTACAAAGAATCAACTGTTGGTTTTTTGAAAGTATAAATAAAATTGACAGAGGCTAACTACACGAACCAAAAAAAGGAGATTTAAATAAGCACAATCAGAAATGATCGAGTTGACAGTACAACCAACACCACAGAAATACAAACGATCATCAGAGACTACTTCGAACAGCTTTATGCACATAAACTAGACAACCTAGAGAAATGGATGAATTCCTAGACATATACGACTTCCCAAGATCGCACAGGCAAAAAAATAGAAACCCTAAACAGACCAGTAACAAGTAACAGAAAAGAATCAGTACTAAACATCTTCCAGCAAAAAAGCGCAGGAACAGATGGATTCACAGTTGAAATTTGCCATATATACAAGGAAGAGCTTGTGCCAATCATACTGAAAGTTTCCAAAAAAATCAAGGTGGTGGGATTCTTTCCTAGCTCATTCTATGAAACCAATATCACCCTGACAGCAAAATCAGACAAGGACCCAGCAGAAAAATAAAACTGCAGGCCAAGAAACCTGAGGAACATAGATACAAAAATCCTCAAGAAAATACTAGCAAATGGAATCTAACAGTGTATCAAAAACATAATACATCATGATCAAGTTGACTTGATTCCAGAGATGAAAGGATGGTTCAATATATGCAAAGTCAATAAAGGTGACTCATGACATAAACGTGAACTAAGAACAAAAAGCATACGATCATCTCGATAGATGCAGATAAAGCATTCAGCAAAGTCCAATATCCCTTCATGATAAAATCCCTCAACAGACTAGGCATGAAAGAAACATACCCCAAAATATTAAAAGCCTTATATGACAAACCCACAGCCAACATCAAATTGAATAGGGAGAAATGAAAGCATTTTCCCAAGAAATGGAACAAGACAAGGATGTCCACTCTCACCACTCCTATTCAACAGAGTACTGGAAGTCCTAGCCAGAGCAATCAGGCAACAGAAAGAAAGTGCATCCACATTGGAAAAGAGAAAGTGAAATTATCTGTGTGTGCTGATGACACGATCATATACCAAGAAAACCCTGAAGATTCTTCCAGAAGACTCGTAGACTTGATAAGTGACTTCAGCAAAGTCTCTGGATACAAAATCAAGCTACAAAAATCAGTAGCCTTTCTATACATCAATACCATTCAAGCTGAGAACCAAATTAAGAACACACAAACACAAACACACACTGAGGAGTATATTTAACGAAGGAGGTGAAACACCTCTACACAGAGAATGACAAAATGCTGATGAAAGGAACTGTAGGCAACACAACCAAACAGAAAAATATTCCTTGCTCACAAATGGGAAGAATCAATATTGTTAAAATGACCATATTGCCCAAAGCATGCTACAGATTCAACACAATTCCTATCAGATTACAAATCTCATTTCTTTAACAGAATTACAGAGAAAGCAATTTTTAAATTCGTTTGGAACCAAAAACCAGCCTGAAGAGCTAAAACAATTCTCTGTAAAAAGAACAAACCAGGAGGCATCACGTTACCTGATTTCAATTATACTGTAAGGCCATAGTAACTAAAACAGCATTTACTAGTACGAAAATATACACAGATGCCACATGGCTCACATACAAAGCACATTCACTGCTTCATCTGGGTGCTGCACTTGGTTTATAGGGAGAGTTGGCTAGTCCCCTTCTCAGGGCCAACAGACCTTTTAGTGGTGCTGTCTGGTCCACTAAGCTGGTTGTTGTCTCCAGAATAACCTCCTGTGCATTTGGATCACATATACTCATTAGTGATTGCTTAATAGAGATCTACGGGTCCTGCATCAACCCAAACAAGTTCTTAAATTCTGAAACATTTAAAATTAAGAATTTGGCCCTTAAAGTGGTTATTTTTTACAATCTACTACGTAGATTTTTTTTTTTTAAGAAACTGATAATAATCTAAAAAGTGGAACAATTCCTTTGCATTATACCCTCTGGTTTTAATAGTTACATGTTTTTGCCCTTCCTCCATATCAAGTATCTTCTCGGTAATCACAGGTCTCAGAGTTAACTTTTGTTGTCCTCGCTAAATTGTTCTTCTTATTTACTTTTATCTGTGTAATTTTTCCTTTATTTTAAAGCAACTCTTAAATAGTTTCCTAACTAGAAAAAACCTACTTTTTTTTGGCAAAATCCATATCCTTGTGTTTTATAAACTTCACCAAAAACATTTTATGCTCTTACTATTTTAATTTAGTAACCCAAATTTCAAGTGAAAAAAAATGAGGTTTAACATAACATAGTTGTAAGATTGCAAATTACTCGAGAGTTTTAAGATTAAATTTACCAAATTAATTTTACTAAATATTAAAGTTATGTGAATTCAAAGGCATCTGAGTTAGCCTCTGCCAATCTGATAAGCACTTACTTTTTTAAAAAAAAAAGACAATTGATGAGTTTTTTCATGTAGTTTGGTAGTCAAATATCACATCCAGATAACACATCTGAAGATAGAGATATAACAGGCATACAGAATAAAAAGAGCAGGTCTAAAAGATATTTCATTTTTCTGTTTTTAGACAAAAATTCCTCTCTTACTTTAGATAATTAATAAAAGTTACAGAAGCCAACACAAGGCGAGGGAGAGAGCTATCATCCAAGGCCTTTCAAAAGAGAAACAGCCAAACTTTGATATATTCATCAGAAGAATTTCAAAAAGACAGATTACAGAATTTTAAAATTAAAAACTTTCTGCATTAAGAATAAGTTAATATTTTAGTAAAACCTTGTTTCAACCAATTATTTAGTTTTGTATCAGTGTGTGTTTTTTAAATATCAAAGACCCATCTGTAGAATGACTATTATAATTTATTTCTTAATCATAATCAACTATATTATACAACCTTTCTTTTTAAAAAAAGTCCTGTTTTTACTAACCTTATTGTGACTTACAGAGACCACTTACATCATGCTTAAACTGCCTGTTTTGTTCTAAATATCCCTCTTTCTTGAACTATCAGTTATTTTATTTCAGGACAAAAATTCACTACATAAGACACTTTCTTGTGTAAAATTACTTTCCTTTTCATCTTTTTTTACCAAAATTCCTCTTTATATTTATAACTTTCTTTACATCTCTCTTCTTTCCTGGTTCCATTTATCTTGTTTTATACATGACTTTTAAGTAAGCTCTGAATTAGACACAGATATTTATCTCTTAATAAGAATTGTTTCTTAAAAAATGTTTTCCTATAATTTTTAAATTATAAATTATCCAGCTAGTCAATTAATATCTATTATTTAATATAACTTTAGATTCTAAATTACATGACAAGTTTGTTTATAAGCATTTATTCCATTGCATTTACTTGATAAATTTATTTAATAGTTTACCTAGATTATTTATGAACACTGTGACAGTCATCACTTCAAGTTAATTCCCTGTTAACCAATGTTATAAACTATGAATTTCAGGTGTTTACTTAGGTAAGGGAACTTATGGTTAAATATAAGGGTATTTTATTAACTTATATCTCAATAGTTAGCTGTTTTCACATAACCAACAATATTACATGGCTTCTTTATTAAAAATTATACAAGCAAAGATCATTCTGTTTTGGGCTGGGTTTATAATTTTGTTTTGTGTGTGTAAGGCTGCTCTTGAACTCCCAACCTCAGGTGATCCACTGACCTCAGCCTCCCAAAGTGCTGGGATTACAGGCGTGAGCCACCATGCCCAGCCAGGTTTGTAGTTTTATAACCCTTGTGGCAAATCTCATACTATTCTGCAGGGATAAGCCCAAAACCACTTGTGCAATAAATGCAAACAAAAATGCTAACAATTCTTAAGACATTTCTAATCTTATTTTACCAATAGTTTTAAAGCCAGCTTATTTATTAAAGATTTTACTTAAGTCAGGTGAACTTGAAGAAGCATTTTGTTCTGATAAAGTATTTGATTTAAGCACTTGTATCTTCTTTAAGCCAATTAATTAGAGCTCTTTTGTATATTTTTAGTAGTGAAACATAATGTACACCACACACAGATACATGGATGCATTAGGCATGCTGATAGAAGTACATCTTATAGATTCAAAAATCCTCTTTTTTTTTCTATCTCAAAATTTCAAACTCTTTTTTTTTTTTTTTTTTGAGGCAAGGTCTCACTCTGTCACCCAGACTGGAGTGCAGTGGCATGATCTCGGCTCACTACAACCTCCATCTCCCATGCTCAAGCGATTCTCCTGTCTCAGTCTCCCAAGTAGCTGGGATTACAGGAGTGTGCCACTACTGCCTGGCTAAGTTTTACATTTTTAGTAGAGACAGGGATTCACCATGTTGGCCAGGCTGGTCTTGAACTCCTGACACCTACCTCAGCTTCCCAAAGTGCTGGGAATACAGGTGTAAGCCACCGCACCCAACCCTTTCAAACTCTTCATAACCTGTTTCCTTACCCCAGGCAGTTATCAGCTAAATAGCCCTAAATTTCCATATTACAGGAAACAATTTTTAGATGAAAAAATCAGATAGCAAAACTTACATCTCAAAGTACAGAGGAAGAAGTCTGGTGTGTTAGAGGGACATTAAAATGGATTCATTGCTAATTAAACATAAGATTATAGAAATCTGTCATAAAGGCTTTTAAACACACCCCCCCACACACACACACACACAGACATCCTGTAGCTTTTACTTCAAAACTCTAGCCATGAGATATTAATATAAATTTACCAATTTGCAAAAAAATTTGGATCTGGACAGTGGTTTTTATCTCAGTAGAAAAGTAACAGCAGATGTAAAGCAAGCAGAAAAGAAAATAGAGAAAGAGAGAACTTAGGAACTCTATAGTTTGCAAGCCATCATTAGGGCTCTCTTACCTTGATGTAAATGTGCACAAAGACCATAATATTTTTGTTTTACACAAACTCCAGCAAGTAGAGGCGCCATAAAACCAATGGAGTGCCCACAAGGGTGTCATTCTTCTTGTTTTCTCCTCATTCTTAGATTATTTGTTTCCCACTTTTTCTTTTCTTTTCTTTTTTCTTTTCTCTTCTCTTCCCCCTCTCTTCTCCTCTTCCCTCCCGTCCTCTCCTCTCCTCTCTTCTCCTTTTGTTAAAGGAGGAAGTGAGCTGTGGCCTAGGGGTTTGTGCAGTGGGCCACAGTGTGCTGGTTGTGGGTGGGACTCCACAGGGTCTCACCACTTAGTCATTTCTTCCCTTTCATGTGTGTAAGTTTTTCTCTCCGAAGGTCTAAACACCTCCAGGAGTGCTCAAAATGCGGAGTGACCAACTCCCATCTGTGCTTCCTGGACAAACCTTTTTAATACTAATTTTGCTGTGGGTTCCCTGTAGGCCTCTCACATCATGGTGGGGTCCACCTCCCCAGACACTCCCACAAGCCCTCCTCATCACTTCCCACATTTTGGCTGGGAGGAGCAAAATGCCCTTTCTTTTCTAAGCTGAGGAAACACAGTCGGTCATTTCCCTATGAAAACAACAGTTCAGTTCCTCATGCAAATGTGAACAGGCAAGCCAAATCGAGATTAATTTGGGGAGAAAAGCAATGGAGAAGACCCTTTAGAATGTATCTCCCAACTAGAAGTAGGATCCTTAAACAACAACTTCCTAGAAAGAAAAAGAAATAGTAGCTCAGAATAAATAAAGGGTCGTCAACCAAAGGGAGATCGGGGCTCAGGAGGACTTACCACTTCCAGCAGAGAAGAAGCTCAAAATCCTGGAGGCTTTCAGTGGACCCCTGCTGGTACCATAGCTCCAGGTTGAGACAACTCCTTTGGAGTCCTGAGTCTTATCTGAGACCTCACGTGTTCAGGCACCAAATTATTGTGGACAAAAAGAGTCAAACTCTGTAATACATTAAAAGAGATTTATTCTGAGCCAAATATGAGGAACCAGCCCTCAGGAGGTCCTGAGAACATGTGTCCCTTGACTTTTTAATAATAGCCCTTCTGACAGGCGTCAGAAGATATCTCATTGTGGTTTTGATGTGCGTTTCTCTCGTGATCAGTGATGTTGAGCTTTTTTAATATGATTGTTGACCACATGTATGTCTTCTTTTGAAAAGCGTCTGTTCATGTCCTTTGCCCACATTTTAATGGTTGTTTGTTTTCTTCTTGTAAATTTGTCTAAGTTCCTTAAAGATATTGGAGAGTAGACCTTTATTAGATGCATAGTTTGCAAAAACTTTCTCCCAGTCTGTAGATTGTCAGTTTACTCTGTTTACAGTTTCTTTTGCAGTGCAGAAACCCTTTGGTTTAATTAGATCTCATTTGTCAATTTTTGCTTTTGTTGCCATTTCTTTTGGCATTTTAGTCATAAAATCTTTGCCCATGCCTGTGTCCTGATTGTATTGTCTAGGTTGTCTTCCAGGTTTTTATAGTTTTAGGTTTTACATCCATCAATCAATCCATCTCAAGTTAATTTTTTTATATATGGTGTAAGGAAGAGGTCCAGTTTCAATTGTCTCCATATGGCTAGTCAGTTATCCCAGCACCATGTGTTGAATAGGGAATCCTTTCCCCATTGCTTGTTTTTGACAGGTTTCATAAAGATCAGATAGTTGTAGGTGTGTGGTACTATTTCTGGGTTTTCTATTCTGTTCCATTGGTCTATGTGTTTGTTTTTGTACCAGTACCATGCTGTTTTGGTTACTGTAGCCCTGTAGTAGAGTTTGAAGTCAGGTAACATAATGCCTCCAGCTTTGGTTTTCTGTTTTTGTTTTTGCTTAGGCTTGCCTTGACTATTTGGGCTCCTTTTAGGTTCCGTATGAATTTTTAAATTTTAAATTTTTGGTTCCATATGGTTTTTCTAGTTCTGTGAAGAATCTCAATGATAGCTTAATACAAATAGTACTGAATCTACAAATGGCTCTGAGCAGTATGCCCATTTTTAAGATGTTTATTCTTCCTATTCATGATCATGGAATGTTTTTCCATTTCTTTGTGTCATCTCTAATTTTTTTGAGCAGTGTTTTATAGTTCTCCTTCAAGAAATTTTTCACCTTCCTAGTTAACTATATTCCTAGGTTTTGTGTGTGTGTGTGTGTGTGTGTGTGTGTGTGTGTGTGTGTGTGTGTGTAAACTGTAAATGGGATTGCATTCCTGATTTGGCTCTCAACTTGACTGTTATTGGTATATAAATGCTAGTGATTTTTGCACATTTATTTTGTATCTTGAGTCTTTGCTGATGTTGTTTACCAGCTTAAGAAGCTTTTGGGTTGAGACTATGATGTTTTCTAGATATAGGATCATGTCATCAGCAGACAAAGATAGTTTGACTTCCTCTCTTCCTATTGGAATACACCTTATTTTTTTCTCTTGCCTGATTGCCCTGCCTAGTATTTCCAATACTGTTGAATAGCAGTGGTGAGAGAGGGCATTCTTGTGCCAGTTTTCAAGTGGATTGCTTCCAGCTTTTGCCCATTCAGCATGATGTTGGCTGTGGGTTTGTCATAAATGTCTCTTATTATTTTGAAGTATGTACCTTCCATACTAGTTTAATTAGAGTTTTGAACAAGAAGTGATGTTAAATTTTATCAGAAGCCTTTTCTGCATCATTGATATAATCATGTGGGGTTTTTTTGGTTTTAGCTCTGTTTATGTGATGAATCTGTTTTTTGATTTGTGTATGTTGAACCAATTTCAGGCTCATTATTGGTCCATTGAAGAATTCAATTTCTTCCTGGTTCAGTCTTGGGGGGGTGCATGTGTCTGGGAATTTACCCATTTCTTTTAGATTTTCTAGTTTATGTGCATACAGGTGTTCATTATATTCTCTGATGGTTGTTTGTATTTCTCTGGGATCAATGGTAATATTCCCCATGTCATTTGTGATTGTATTTATTCAAATCTTCTCTTTTATTAAAAATTAATCTAGCTAATTTATATTATATTCTCTGATGGTTGTTTGTATTTCTCTGGGATCAATGGTAATATTCCTCATGTCATTTGTGATTGTATTTATTCAAATCTTCTCTTTTTTAAAAAATTAGTCTAGCTAGCAGTCTATTTTATTAATTTTTTCAAAAAAAGCAGCTCTTGGATTTGTTGATCTTTTGAATGATTTTTTTTTGTGTGCCAGTCTCCTTCAGTTCAGCTCAGATTTTGGTTCTTTCTTGTATTCTACTAGCTTTGGGGTTTGTTTGCTCTTCATTCTCTAGTTCTTTTAGTTATGATGTTAGGTCATCACAACTAATGCGACGTGGACATTTAGTGCTATGCATTTTCCTCTTAGCACTCCCTTAGCTGTGTCCCAGAGATTCTGGTATGTTGTACCTTTGCTCTCATTCGTTTGTAATACCTTCTTGATTTCTGCCTTAATTGCATTATTTACCCTGATATAATTCATATGATTCAGGAGCAGGTTTTTTAACTTCCATGTAATCGTATGATTTTGAGTGAGTCTCAATTTCTAATTTGATTATGCTGTGGTCAGAGGGTGGTTTGTGCCGACTTCAGTTGTCACAAACTGAATTTGCTGAGGAGTGTTTTGCTTCCAATCATGTGACTGAATTTAGAGCATGTGCCATGTGGTGATGAGAAGAATGTAAATTCTGGTTTGGGGACGTGGAGAGTTCTATAGATGTCTATCATGCCCGTTTGATCCAGTGCTGTGCTCAGGTCCTGAGTATCTTAGTCAATTTTCTGTCTTGAGGATCTGTCTAATATTGTAAGTGGGGTATTAAAGTCTCCCACTATTTGCGCGCGGGAGTCTAAGTCTCTTTGAAGCTCTTTACAAATTTATTTTATGAATCTGGGTGCTGCTGTGTTGGATGCATAGATATTTAGGAAAGTTAGATCTTCTTGAGTGGAATGAATGGAATTCTCATGGGAACATGACCAAGGTTCTAAGATCCATGAAGGTGTCAGTTTGAGTGACATACTTTTTTTTTGTTTTTTGAGACAGAGTCTCATGCTGTCGCCCAGGCTGGGAGTGCAATGGGGCAGTCTTGCCTCACTACAACCTCCTGCTTCCCAGGTCCAAGCAATTGTCCTGCCTCAGCCTCCCGAGTAGCTGGGGTTACAGTTGCTTGCCACCATGCCCAGCTAATTTTTGTATTGTTAGTAGAAACGGGATTTCACCACGTTGGCCAGGCTGGTCTCGAACTCCAGACTTCATATAATTTGCTGGCCTCTGCCTCCCAAAGTGCTGGGATTACAGGTGTGAACCACCATGCCCTCCTGAGTGATATATGTTTTTACCTGCAACCACAAACTCTTACAGATCATCACAGGTAGCTGGAGAAAAATATAAGACCAGACCTTTTGTAATTTCCCTTGGTTCAGACAATTGTTGGTCCTATGAGAAACTGAATCTGGTACTTTCTCAGTGTGAACTAGGAATAGTTTCACTTCATGGGAAATTGCAACCTACTTATTTTAGAACACTGAGTGATATTAGAGTATCACATCCTGTTTGTACTTCTCCATGGGTGTGGGGAAAAAAAAAGACAAAAAGGGTTTTGTGTGATACTTGGGAGATGTGAGCTTTTATAAAGACAAATATATACATATATACACATGTATATACACATGTATAGTTACTATTACAATTATCTGGCCTAAGAAAAGAGAAAGGGAACCAAGATTCTTCTTTATAACACCTTTTTCGGACCAAGAATGGCACAGAAACACATACTTTTTCTCCTCAGACACCAAGACTCAGGGCTGTCTCTCCTCTCAGGCCAGTAAGGAGTCCCCACTTTCCACCAGTAGTTCTTACAGATGAAGCCCAGTTGTCCCTACATGCCCATATATACAATCACATTTATAGTTGTTTTAAATTTCAAAATCTCTAACACTTGGGCCTCTTCCATTTTGTACTTGAGTTTATATTGCTAAGATGCATGCCTATTAATTTTTAGTTCCATATTATTATTTTCAACTTTTATTTTAGAATGTGGGGGCACATAACGCAAGTTTGTTAGGAAGGTAGATTACGTGATGCTGAGGTTTGGAGAACAAATGAATCCGTAAACCCAGGTAGTGAGCATAGCACCCAACAGACAGTTTTTCAGCCCTTGCCCTCCTCCCTCTCTCCCCACTCTAAGTGTCTCCAGTGCCAGAACCAGACTGTCTCAAAGAAAAAAAAAAATCACAGGAAACATCCTGTTGTTACAGGCATTGGCAAAGTGTTTACAGCTAAGTCTTTGAAAGCAATTAAACAAAAACAAAAATTGATGAGTGGGACCTCATTAACCTACAGATCCAGTGAAGGCCTAATATTCAGAATCTAGAAGCAACTTACACAAATCAGCAAGCAACAAACTAACAGCCCCATTAACAAGTGTGCAAAGGACATGAACAGACACTTATCTATGCACACGTGTGCCCAATGTTTAGCTCCTGTTTATGAGTGACAACGTGCTATGTTTGACTTTCTGTTTCCACGTTACATCACTTAGGCTAATGACCTCTAGCTCCATCCATGCTGCTGCAAAGCGCATGATTTCCTTTTGGATTGCTGTGTAGCATTCTATGGTGCATATATCCAGTCCATTGTTAATGGACACCTGGGTTTATTCCACATCTTTGTTATTGTGAATGGTGCTGCAATGAACATATAGGTGCATCTATCTTTTTGGTAGAATAATTTCTTTTCCCTTTGGGCATATACCTATCAATGGGTTTGCTAGGCTGAATGGTAGTTCACCTCTTAGTTCTTTGAGAAATCTCCCAACTGCTGTCCACAGTGGCTGAACTAATTTACGTTCTCACCAACACTTGCTCCATTTTCTTTGCAGCCTTACCAGCATCTGTTATTTTTTGACTTTTTACTAATAGCTGTTCTGAGTGGCGTGGTTATCTCCTTGTGGTTTTAATTTGCATCTCCCTAAGGATGAGTCATATTGAAGATTTTTTCCTACGCTTTTTGGACATATGTGTGTCTTCTTTGGAAAAGTGTCTGTTCATGTCCTTTGCCCACTTTTTAACGGGGCTGTTTGTTTTGTGCTTGCTGATTAGTGTAAGTTGCTTGCAGATTCTGAGTATTAGACCTTCACTGGCTCTGTAGGTTAATGAGGTCCCACTCATGAATTTTTGTTTTTGTTTAATTGCTTTTGAGGACTTAGCTGTAAACACTTTGCTGTATCAAGGAAGATGTTTCCTATTTATTTATTTATTTATTTTTATTTGAGACGGAGTCTGGCTCTGCTGCCAAGGCTGCAGTGCAGTGGTGCGATCTCGGCTCACTGCAACCTTTGCCCCCCAGGTTCAAGCAGTTCTCCTGCCTCAGCCTCCCAAGTAGCTGGGATTACAGGTGCCTGTCGCCATGCCAGGCTTTTTTTTTTTTCTTTTTTGTATTTTTAGTAGAAATGGGGTTTCCACCATGTTTTCTTCTAGGATTCTTATAGGTTGAGATCTTACATCAAAATATTTAATCTAGGCCGGGCGCGGTGGCTCAAGCCTGTAATCCCAGCACTTTGGGAGTCCGAGACGGGCGGATCACAAGGTCAGGAGATCGAGACCATCCTGGCTAACACGGCAAAACCCCGTCTCTACTAAAAACACAAAAAATTAGCCAGGCGAGGTGGCGGCGCCTGTGGTCCCAGCTACTCGGGAGGCTGAGGCAGGAGAATGGCGGGAACCCGGGAGGCGGAGCTTGCAGTGAGCTGAGATCTGGCCACTGCACTCCAGCCTGGGCGACAGAGCAAGACTCCGTCTCAAAAAAAAAAAAAAAAAAAAAAAAAATATTTAATCTAGGCCGGGCTTGGTGGCTCACGCCTGTAATCCCAGCACTTTGGGAGGCTGAAGGGGGCAGATCACAAGGTCAAGAGATCGAGACCATCCTGGCTAACATGGTGAAACCCCATCTCTACTAAAAATACAAAAAAAAAGTAGCCAGATGCGGTGGCGGGTGCCTGTAGTCCCAGCTACTCGGGAGACTGAGGCAGGAGAATGGCGGGAACCCGGGAGGCAGAGTTTACAGTGAGCCGAGATTGCGTCACTGCACTCCAGTCTGGGCGACAGAGCGAGACTCTGTCTCAAAAAAAAAAAAAAAGAAAAAAAATATATATATATATTTAATCTGTCTTGCTTTAATTTTTGTATATGGTGATATGTAGGGGTCTGTCCAGTTTCATTCTTTTGCATATGGCTAGCCAGTTATCACAGGATTATTTTTCAAATAGGGAGTCTTTTCCCCATTGCCTATTTTTGTTGACTTTGTTTAATATCAGATGATGATGGTAGGTGTGTGGCTTTATTCTGTTTCATTGGTCTCTGTGTCTGTTTTTGTACCAGTACCATAATGTTTTGGTTACTGTAGCTTTGTATTATAGTTTTTTCTAAAAAATGTATTTTATTTCAATAGCTTTTGGGGTACAAGTGGTTTCTAGTTGTATGAATGAATTGTACAGTGGTGAAGCCTGAGGTTTTAGGGCACCCGTTGCCCTAGTAGTATACATTGTATTTGGTATGTAGTATTTTATTACTCACTCTCCACCCCCTTTCTCCCTTCTGGGTCTCCAATGTTCATTATACCCCTTTATATGTCTTTGATTACCCATAACTTAGCTCCCACTTGTAAGTGAGAGCATACGGTATTTGGTTTTCCATTGCTGAGTTAGTTCACTTAGTGTCATGGCCCCCCGCTTCATCCAGGTTGCTGCAAAAGACATTATTTCATTTTCTTCAATGGCTGAATAGTATTTTCTTGTGTGTATGTACCACATTCACTCATCAGCTGATGGGCACTTAAGTCGATTCCACATCTTTGCAATTATGAATTTTGCTGCAATAAACATATGTATGCAAGTGTGTTTCTGATGTGATGATGTCTTTTCCTCTGGGACGTACACATTTGTTGGCTGCAGGGGGCTGCTGGTGGGTGCAGGGGTGCTGGCCTCCGTGTTGGTGTTCCATGCAGTGGTGTCAGCAAGGCTGGGTGGGGTGGGCAGGAGCCCCGCAGGTGTTCGTATGAGCATTTGCACTGGTAGTGGTGTTAGCACGGTGGTGGGGCTCTGGCCTCACAGGACTGTGTACACCCTCTGTGTGCACTTCCACGCTGGTGGCAGCAGCTGCTTGCAGTGGGGGTGGATCCTCTGGTCTCCCTGTGTGTGTGCACACCAGTGGCAGTGTTGGCGTGGGGAGGTTAATGAGCTGGTGGGCACTGGACAGGCAATCTCTGCACCCACGAATGCTCTGACAGCAGTCCCAGTGCTCGGGGTCATTCGGTGAGTGGGTGAACTCACACCAGCAGCTATGGCATGGCGAGATGCATGTGCACCCACGTGCTGTTGGGCAGGGGAGAGATTTCTTTGTTCTAGAGGGTAGTTGGCAAACGATAAGATTTCTTTATTCTAGACAGTAGAGGGTGAATGATAAGATTTCATTATTTTACACGGTAGATGGCAAATGGCTGCTCCCTTTGCCCTAGAAAGTTCAGGACTATTTGATCCCTCGTGTTTCTCAGGATCCTCCCTCCAAACATTCTGTCCTGTGCAGCAGGGTTTTACATCCTTCCAACACAACAGCGGTCTTTGACCTAGACATGTTGAACTCTTTAGTGCTAGGACCCAAGTCGTCTTGCTGTTTTGGGACAATTCAGAAAAGAATCAGCCCCAGTCATTTTGCATACTTCTGTCTGACTGTCCTAGGTGAGTAGAAAGAAACAGTTCAACTGCTTGACAAGATTCATTGACCTGAGGTCTTGTCTGCAGCTGGATTTCTATCCTACTTCTGTGATTTTCCTTTCGTGGATCACGAACGCACTGCAAATGCCTATCATTGCTTTTGACATGGTGTACTTTGGTTCTGCCTGGAAAGGCAGGAAATCTCGAAGTGAGGGGCTCACAGATCATAGGCAGATTGAAAAGTTTTCAGCAAGAATAGGCAAACCCATAGAGACAGAAAGCACACTCGTGGTTAGCAGGTGCTGGAGGGAAGAAGGAATGGGGAGTGGCTGCTGACTGGGTGTAGGGTGATGACAATGTGTGGAACAGGATGGCAGTGATGGTGACACAATGATCTGAGGAGAAGCTGCACAGGTAGCATCTGAGAAGGAGGGAAGGGCTCACAGGGTTCAGAGAGGGTGTCAGGGCATCAGGGTGGATTTATCTTTTCCTGGTGGAAATCCGATATTTCCCCATTGATTTAGTTACTGAAGCGTGTTTGGAACTCTGAACTGAAGAGATGGAGGCTCAGTAAAGCACACCAGGGAGTGTGGCAATGAGGAATAAAGAAGACTGTGTTACGCGCCATGGACCAGAGCACGCAGGTGTGCAGAGCTGTGGACCCAACGCTGCCGTGTGGAATGTAGCCTCATGTCTGGGGGTGGGAAAAGAAGGGGATCCAACCAAGGGAAGTCAACATTAATAGAGAGGAAAGGTATCACATGTTATCTGCTGTATATTGCCAGATCACGCCGGAAAATGTCTCTGCAATCCAACACTGATTCCTCCTTCTGGAAATGATCGGCAGACAGTCCAGATACCATTGGTCCTAAATTGTCTCCTGGAACCTCCTGGGATCATCAGATCTGTTCCTAAGGCCCCAACACTCTGAAGGGTGCATTCTTCTCTCTCCTGTTCACCTCCTGGCTGCATCTTGGAGGCTTCTCTGGCTGTACTGAGGCTTAAATAGCAGAATTCCGAGGACCACCAGGATTAAGCCAGCCATGCCCATGCGGATGAGATTCTCCACTGTGTAATCCTGGGAGTGTGAGGCTGGGGATAGTGGACAAGGAGGTCACAGAGGTCGGGACAGGTCAACATCACCCAGGACCTCTGGATGTCCACCCAGAGCACATCCTTACCCTTGACAGGACCCCACCCTTGTGCCCGGCCCCGTAAATGAGAGCATCTCCTCACTCACCAGTCTTGGGGTCTGAATTGTTTTGTGACAGGCCGAGGGTGTCAGCTGCTCCTGAGAATGAAAACAGAGGGGAAGAGCCCTGAGCCAGCCTCTCCCCCGGGCTCTTCGCTCTTACCTTCCCCTATGTCTCCTGACAAGAGTTCTAGTGAGTTCCTCGATAAACCCTTCCTCTGCCGCAGCAGCACTCCCTTCAGTCTCCTTATTGAATTATTTCAGACTTCCTGTGTCCTACAAATCCAGACGTTGCTCCTGAGGCCTTTGGGGAGGGCATTTTCCTGCACTCTCAGAATCTGAAAGGTAATACAGAAGTCATTGGCCGGGCCCGGTGGCTCAAGCCTATAATCCCAGCACTTTGGGAGGCCGAGACAGGTGGATCACGAGGTCAGGAGATCGAGACCATCCTGGCTAACATGGTGAAACCCCATCTCTACTAAAAAAAAGTACAAAAAAACCTAGCCGGGCGAAGTGGCGGGCGCCTGTAGTCCCAGCTACTCGGGAGGCTGAGGCAGGAAAATGCTGTGAACCCGGGAGGCAGAGCTTGCAGTGAGCTGAGATCCGGCCACTGCACTCCAGCCTGGGCGACAGAGCCAGACTCCGCCTCAAAAAAAAAAAAAAGAAGTCCCTGAGCCCCGTGCACTGTCTGTGCAGCCAGGGACACAGGAGCACATAAGCCAATTCCCCCGGAGAGGAGAGTTTCACTTATCCACCAGCTGAGGACCCAGGCTCCACGCATGAGAGGTTGGTCCGCAGGGGCTCCCCAGTGTCAGAAGCACAAAAGGGGGAAATTCTGGGGGTTCTTCTTCTTCACACAGCCTCAGCCAGTTCAGCCGGGGTTTCATCTTCCGTTTAATCTCTAGTTAACTAATTCCTCATATAGGCAGTAACACCTAGAATGCGACGCAGGTGACCACATTCACACACGTACAAATAGATGTACATTAAATGGTGGTGTCACTCAAGGTTCATGAATCAGTATTTGTTTTTATGAAGTGTGAATCTAGACCAGGAACAAACATGTAAACACCTATCACTTCAAATATATTAAGCATATGCGTGAATATACATCAAATGAATTTGGATATACTTACATATTCAAATGTATCTTACATAACCCCATGTAAATATGTATACATGTAAAACTTCAGCTATGTATTTAAGATGTCGTTACATATATGTTGACATTTAAAGTGAGAAGTGTTGGCACATAATTTGGAAATAAAGAAGTAAAATTTCCCATTGTCTTATGGTTTACACACATTGCATTAGTCAATTAGAGGAGATCCGTTGAAAAGCAATTAGCACAGGGCACTTTAGTAGTGAGCATGAAATACAATGAATATACTCAAAGCAGTAGCTTTCTCATGGAGAGTTGTCTCTTCTTTAAAACATGTAAAGGAAATACTTCACTTATAAATTGTTAAAGGTGGTGAAGAATTCTTTAAATTGGAATGAATGTAATTTTTTAAAATGTCCACCCAGGACACCCAGTTCCCTTGACAGGACCTGACCCTCTGCGCCCAGCGTCTTCACCGCGAGCATCTCCTCACTCACCGGCCTTGGAGTCGGACTTGGTTTGTGGTGGGCTGAAGGTCTCAGCTGCTCCAGAGAATCGGAACAGGAGAAAAGACATTCAGATGTAACTTATATAACAAATTCTGTATAAGGTTATGTATAACTTATATAACCTCCCCATCAAGGAGAGGTGGGTGTCCTGGGTAGACATATAAAAAAGTAAATTCAGGCCAGGCACAGTGGCTCACGCCTGTAATCCCAGCATTTTGGGAGGCTGAGGCTGGCGGATCACGAGGTCAGGAGTTCAAGACCAGCCTGGCCAACATGGTGAAACCCCGTCTCTACTAAAAATACAAAAATTAGCTAGGTGTGGTGGTGGGCGCCTGTAATCCCAGCTACTCGGGAGGTTGAGGCAGGAGAAGTGCTTGAAACCGGAAAGCGGAGGTTGCGGTGAGCCGAGATCGCACCACTGCACTCCAGACTGGACAACAAGAGCAAAAGTCCATCTCAAAAAAAGTAAAAATATATATATTTATTCTAATTTAAAGAATTATTCAACACCTTTAACAATGTGTAAGTGAAGTATTTGATTCTTTACATTTTTTAAAACAAGAGATAAGTATCCACGAGAAAGCTACTGGTTTGGGTATATTCATTGTATTTCATATTAACTCACTACCAAATTGCCCCCTTCTAATTTAAATCTAAATTAACAATTTAAAGCACTTTTTCATATAAAAAACGTTTAGTTAGATGTTAGAATGATCCAGTGATTGGACAAGATTGGACACGAACCCACCCAGGCCCAGGGTTGAGCTGCACTGCAGCTCCCGCTGACCTCCCGCGGGTTTCACGAGCCACAGGGAGCCCCCCGGTCAGTTTCCCTCGGGCCACTGTGCTTTGAAACATCCAAACACTCCTGAAGTTCATTAAGGAGACCTCAATTTTTAATACGTACGGGAGGAAGACTTGAGGTTAATGAAGAATGGATGTCTACATTGAATATATAAATTAAATCAAGGCCCAATGAAAGGCAAAGTAGAATTAAATATTTTTAAAGAATAGGTTCATATAATTGAAATAAAAAGTATACATTTGTATATTGAAGTATTGCTTTAAAAGTTTTAGTAAAGGAGAGGGCAACAATGGACAAAGGCGTATAGAAAACACAGAGTAGAAATGAGTGATACACGACACGCTCTGTGACTCATTCCCTAACTCGTGCAGGGAGCAGGTGCACGGTCCCTTCTTAGTCTCAAGGTGCCCTGAGCACGGAGCCTCGGTGGGATCTGACTGTGATGAGGCTGGAGTCCACCCTAAACATGCTCCTTCAGAGAGAAGCACCCCAGCTGTGGGTGCCGCTCACATGGCCCCTCCTGTGCTCACCTGGTGGGCTCAGGCTCAAGGCACTCCTGAGACTAAGGAGGGGCCGTGCACCTGCTCCCTGGCAAGTTAGGGAATTATTGACAGCATGTGTTGTGTGTCACTCACTCAATTCTACTCTGGGGTGGACTCCGCCCTCATCACAGTCAGATCCCACCAAGGCCTCCTCTCCTGTCTTGAGATGGCCCAGGGACCCCACAGGTGTGGGTGAGGGGCTCATCCGCAGGGGCTCTCGGAAATAAGAAATGGGAGCTGCCAAAGGACCATCCACCTGTCTTCTCTCCACCTCGCCCGCCTCTGTTCCTCCTCCATCAGCCCCAGCATCTTCCCTGGGTCCAGCCTGACTTGGAGCAGATGCACGGCCCCTCCTGCTGACCCGACCTGTTCTCCTTCCTCTACTCATCACACATCCGCAGGACAAGGTCGGGGTGTGGGCTCCTGCAGAGCTGTGCCAGGTGTTGCTTTTGGTAGAAAATTGGAGAGATTTTGTTTTGTACATGAGACAGTGGAGAGTCTCAACCAGAGGTGATGGCTCCTGGGAATCCTGCTCCTGGAGGGGGAAAGTGCCCGCTGCTCCACTCGTCAGCGTTGAACCTCAGACACCTCCCTCCCCTCTGACCACCATGGAGCACCAGGAAGCCACGCGGACCACACCCTTACTGTCGACCCTGCCCTCTGCTGCCCTGGAAATCAGACCCTGAATATTGAAGGTACCATTGAGATGAGTCTAAAAACTTCTCTTGAACTGGGTGTGACGGTGTTTTTGTCACCCAGGGAGTCAGGACTTAGAGGTTGGGACCCCCAGAGGCTCTGATTCTGAGGTGGAGACATCAGGAGGGGAGCATGTGGGTCCTCTGTCTTCCACCGTCGGTCTAATCTCATCTCCTCTGAGGTTCACCCCCGTCTCCTCCCAGCCCTCCCTGCTCTTTACCCTACTGAGAGTCCAGGGGTTGGAGCCAGGGGTGGGAGGTCCCAGCCTATTTCCACCCTCTCATGGACTGGACCCTCCCCTGCAGACCCTCCCCGTTTACTCCCCTCTTTTCTTTTCTTTTCTTTTTTTTTGAGATGGAGTCTCACTCTGTCGCCCAAGCTGGAGTGCAGTGGCTGGATCTTGGCTCACTGCAAGCTCCGCCTCCCGGGTTCACGCCATTCTCCTGCCTCAGCCTCCCAAGTACCTGGGACTATGGGCGCCCGCCACCTCGCCCGGCTAATTTTTTCTATTTTTCAGTGGAGACGGGGTTTCACCGTGTTAGCCAGGATGGTCTCGATCTCCTGACCTCGTGATCCGCCCGCCTCGGCCTCCCAAAGTGCTGGGATTACAGGCCATCTCCCCTCTTTTCTTAGTGTCCAGAGCTCTGCTGGGAGCAGGGCCTTTGCTGAGCCTTTGAGCTTAGAGAGGACAGGGTCAGGGTCTCACCTGAGACCACGAGCTCCAGGGGCTCACTGGGGTGAGTCAGCAGGTGGGGGTTGGAGCTGCGTGAGCCGTAGCACCTGTAGGTCCCTGCATGGGCTGAGGTCACAGGACTCATGGGGAATTCAGCCTGGTACTTATGAGATTGGCGCTTTGATTTTAGACGCAGAGGGGGATCAGCTGCTCCCTCCTTGGTCAGAAGGAAAGTGTGCATCCATCCGTGTGACTGACACAGCAGGGTCACGTTCTCTCCTGAGGCCACCGTGGGGCCCGGCTGCACCGAGAGGAAGGATCTGTCGGGGATCTGTCCTGGAGAGAAAAGGGATGGATGAGGGGCTGCCCCAACTTGCTCTGAGCTGATACCTCCCTAGGCCTCTCTCTAGGACCCTCAGTCTCTCTGTCTGTTTTCTCTGAGTCTCCCCTCCCTGCCCATCCCCTGTCTCTGTCTGTCTCTCCCTCTCTTGGGACCCCCACCCCTCATCCTGGCCATCACCTCCTGGGCTCTCCCGGCAGGGCCTGTGCAGAGCCTGGGTCCCTGACTGAACCCACAGGGCTCCTCACCTGCGATCAGGATGTCCAGGGGGTCACTGGGGGCCGACCACTGGGAGGAGAGGTTGTGTGCACTGTAGCATCTGTACTGGCCCCCGTGGGAGCGGCTCACAGGGCCCAGGAGGAAGTTGGCCTGGGAGAGCCCAGCCTGGGGCTGCCAGCCAGGGCGCTGGAGGAAGTCACATGCCCCCTCCTTATACAGAGAGAATCTATCATAGCCAGCATCAGAGCCACACTGGAGGGTCAGACTCTCCCCAGGGGCCACGACAGGACCCGGCTGCACTGAGAGTGACGGCTTCTTAGAAACACCTGGGAAAAGGTGGTCACAGTTTCTAGGAGCGACCCTCAGGCTTCCCCACAAACCCTCCCTCTCCCCCTGGGCCTCACCACTGCTGATCTTCCCGTGTAATCTGACCCCAGGAGCCCTGAGCCCTCTCATCCCAACATCATCCCACCTGGCGCTGCCCTGAGACGCGGCTCCTCCCCACCTGCCCGGAGACTCAGGGAGCTCCAGGCAATGCTGTGAATTTCTCACCTGGGACCAGGAGCTCCAGGAGATCACTGGGTAAAGACCACACATAGGGAGAGCGTGAGTCATAACCATAGCACCAGTACGACCACCTGTGACTCGGGCTCACGGGGACCACGGAGAAGACGGCCCAGGACCAGCCACGGGGACGGGGCTGAGAGTTCAGGCATTGTGGGTGTTCATCTTCTCCTTCCTTACACAGAATGAAGCTATCAAATGCCACCTGTGAGCCACATCGGAGGGTCACGTTTCCTCCTGAGGCCACCACAGGGCTGGGCAGGGCTGAGAGGGTGGGTTTGCTGTAGGCTCCTAGGAGAGAAGGAGGCACCGTGTTAAATGGGACTCACACCTCCCGCATCATCCCCAGGGCTGGGCTGTGAGAGGGAGACGCCCCTGAGAGCCGACCCCCTTCCTGAAGACAGAGCCTGGGGCTGGGACAGAGAGTTAGGTCCTCTCACCTGTCACCACCAGCTCCAGGGGGTCACTGGGCTCTGACCACCAACTGTGGCTGTAATACTGACAGCGATACTGCCCTGTGTGTTCCCAGGCGATGGATGCAATGGCGAAATAGCCCTTCTTGACAAGCTCTTGTTGTATCCGTCTAACCCAGGATGCTGGTTTTTTTTCCTTATATAGACGATACTCCTGAACCTGAAGGCTCCCCTGACACCTGAGGGTCACAGGACTCCCCTCGCTGATCATAGACCCTGGCTCAGCCCAGAGAGTGGGCTTGGGAAGGGTCCCTGGAAGGAAACCAGAGATCGGATTCTAAGTCATTTCCCACCCAACATATCTTAGCTCTTGATGGCAGGACCCTCCACACGCCCCCATCGGTCAGCCCAGATCTGCTATTCCCCGTCCCCAGCTGCACGGAGGTGGCCCTTTGTCCCCAGTGAGGAGGAGGGACCTGGAACAGCTGGGGACAGACTCACCTGCCTGCACGTGGGTCCTGGGGCCCAGACTCAGCCCTGGAAGAGAGTTCCCTGTGAGAGATTTGCCCCTGAAGCCTGAGCAGGTCCTCCCCTCCCTGGGATCTTTGTGAGCCCCTGGGGTCTCCTTATGCACCAGAGTTTGGCTGTGGGGTGAGGCCCCTCCTAGGTTAGAATCTCCCCTCCCTCTTCAAATCTCACCGAGACAGATCAGGAGCGTGAGGATGGGGGTCATGGCGTCTCCTCCCACTGCTCTGCTCTGCGGATGGTTGAGCCCCCAGTGCTGGCAGGACAGAGAGACACACAGGGTGTGGACACTCAGAGTCTGGGTCATTCTTCTCATGGAGTTTTGTCATCTGCAGACACACAGGAAGTGGAACTGCCCTTCCCAGGAGCCTGGCTCTCATTCCTTTAGAGCTGAGGTGGGGGCAGGCACCAGACCCTCTGTAGACAGTTCAGACAGAAATGGGGTGTTTCCTGACCCCCAGCCACTGTCTGTCTGGTTTGTCCTCACTTCACGAAGGCCTGGGAGATAGCAACAAATAGAACTGGTGCCTTCCTGTATGTGCCCTTCCTGATCAGGGTGAGCCAAGGCTTTTCCTTCCTTCTCACAGCCTCCCACAAGGTCTCCCTCCCTCCTTCAGCCTGTCCATCAGCACGGTGTTGTGGGGTCCTTACCATGGCAGTCATCTCTTCAGCCCTGGAGATGCTTCAGGGAAGACACGGGTCCATGCTGCAGGCAGACTCAGACCAGCAGAGACGCACGTGACACCTGACTGGGCAGTCCAGGCTGAGCTGTGTGTGGCAGTGAGCACAGAGGAGAAATGCAGGGAAATAGGGGAAGAAAAGTTGACTTCTCTCTTGGCATGGGATTGTGGGTTTTTTTCAACCAAATAGTCTCCTTCTCAACTTCTCCTTTTTAAAATATTTTGCCGGCCGGGCGCGGTGGCTCAAGCCTGTAATCCCAGCACTTTGGGAGGCCGAGGCGGGCGGATCACGAGGTCAGGAGATCGAGACCATCTTGGCTAACACGGTGAAACCCCGTCTCTACTAAAAATACAAAAAGAAATTAGCCGGGCGTGGTGGCAGGCGCCTGTAGTCCCAGCTACTCCGGAGGCTGAGGCAGGAGAATGGCATGAACCCGGGAGGCGGAGCTTGCAGTGAGCCGAGATCGCGCCACTGCACTCCAGTCTGGGCGACAGAGCTAGACTCCGTCTCAAAAAAAATAAATAAATAAATAAAATAAAATAAAATAAAATATTTTGCTGCAGTGTCCACCCCCACACCTCTGGGAAAAAACCTTTGAGTCTTTCCTGCCTCCTCGGTGCCCCTTGCGTCCTTGGCCGTCCCTCTGCACCTCAATTCCTGGTCAACATTTTGGGAACAATGACTTACGTTTGCGCTTTGATTTGAGGAGTTGAGGAGGGAGTTGATACTTATTTGATGACTGTTTGTCATCCACTGCCTATGTGACCTTGGTCTGTAGTGTCCCATCTCTGAGCCTCAGCTTCTTCCTTTGCAGACTGCTGTCATGAATCCCACTCATCACCGTGGTTGTGGGGTGAGTGGTGCCTGGACATTGGGAGGGGCTCATTTCTGTCTGCTTTCCAGACCAGGGTAAGACCTGAGGTGCTTGGGACATGAGAGGATCTTGGTGTTGGACTCCACAGTCTGTGAAGGTGATTGATGTCTCCACTTAAGATGTCGCATCTGACCCTAATGGAGAAATGTACATCAGGCATTTCTGAAATACCCAGAGCATCAAGGTCATGAGCAGAAAAAGAGTTGTGGAAGTTCTCAAGTGTAGATGGATCAACAACAAAGAACAGAAGCCAGAGATGAGATGCCACAGGGTCCTGGGACCATCAAGGGGTCATTAACGGTTGAGGTTTCCACCACTGAGTGGAACTGGGAGAGGAATCTCGGGATTTGCAATGACAGTGAGAAGCTGAGGGCTCCAGACCAATGTGGGAGGCTGCATCCATCCAGCCACACCTGAGGCTGGAGTGGACCCCAAGCAGCCCAGGAGAATTCCCTCAAGGGAGTGCACCAAACCATCCAGTGACAGAGCTGCTGGGATTCCAAAGAAAAAAGCACTAAACACCAGAGTGTTCATAGAGCATTTATTAAGGGGACTTCCGTACTGTAGGGAGTCCTTGTCTCCTTGCCCAGTGTCTACTTGTGGACCTCAAGGATGTGCTTCCACATAGCAGCATGTTCTTCAGATGAACAAGGAGACACTGGGTGTTCTATCCAAGACGTTAACCTAAAACAAAAACAAAAATAAACCCCTAGAGAATATGTCTCAGTAGAGTTGTTTCTTGGGATACACAGGGAATTCGTTTCAGTATTCCCTACATGTACCAAAACCTGATGTACCAAAGCGACTGACAGAGCTGCTTAGAAACAGAGTTCCCTGGTTCCAGAGGTTCAAAGCCAGAGTTGCTGTCAGTCCATTGGAGGAGATGCTGTTGCTGGGCAAGTGTTCTCTTAAGAGCATCTTATCCGAATTCCTGACGTCCTAAAGAATATCTAGTGATAAACCTTGTCAAAGCAGGAGATGAGTGAAGGACATGGAAGAGTTTCTTGTAGCATTTTTAAAAAGTCCTTAGAAACAGTTCTTATCTGAGACCTGGAAGCATGAGCCTCCTCTCCTTCAGGTCTTCCTGGCCCTGTGGGGTCTGAGTTTGACCAAAGTCATCTCATCCTTGCACCTGTGAATTTCCTATTGGGTGTCTGCAGTGAAGGGAGTGGGTTACAAAGTTTAACCTGAGAGTTTTAGGAATTTGGTTCAGGGATGGCTTGTTTCTACCTCTTTAGCAAAAGGGTTAATTTTTCAATGTTTTCTAGAAAAAACCTGAAGTGCTTTATCAGTACCTGGGAATGCTCAGGACCTCAGCTTGGGTTCACTCCTGCAGGTGGAAACATGCACCTGTCCAACCCACAGAGCAGTCATGGTGCTTTGTCTCTCTCTCAGAACAAAGAAAGAAGTGGAGGAGACCGTCGGACCCTAGAGAGACTGGCTCCGCCTCTTCTGTGTTTGTGGACAGATGCTGGGATAGCTCCCCTCAGTAACCCGGGCCACACTCAGCACTAAGCCACCTTCCCGGGTGGACAGGACACAGACTCGCTTTATCATTGCTGGACCGGGCATCTCTCATACATGTGTGTGAGGCTCACATGGGCCCTGATGTACTGGGCACAGCACGGAGCTGATTCTTAGCTTGGGAGTGTGGACACCACAGGACATGAGCGGCCACAGCAGTGCCCCCCATCAATTTTCATTGCTGAGTCAGTCCTGGGAGAAAACCTGAATAGAAGATCAATTGTGTAAGAGAAAATCACCCAAAAGGAATAAAAGTCAAACAGTCTATTAGAGAAAAAACAGGTAATTATATAAATGAATTACAAAGATATTTTGAGGTGAAAAATAGTAAATTATATTAACACATTTAGAAATAATTTCATCCAGAACAAGACACAACTGAAATGATAAATATTATATTGGTGTAGAATATTTACTAAAATTTTCAGAAGTCATCAGAGCAACTTTAGAAATGAAAAAATAGAAAACATAATCAATGCACACAAGAAACAGAATGAGAAGGGTAAAGAGATATCTCTCTATGGATCACACTTTCAGAATGAAAGAAAGAAGGAGTATGTTAGTAAAACTTGCAAAGAAAACAGTTGATGTTTTTACAGAAATGAACGAAGAGCATGAGCTTAACACGCACAAATTTATAAATAAAATTAATGTCTTGACCATGGTAGAATGAAAGATATCTAGAATAAATAAAAAGTAATTTTAAAACTACAGGAGAAAATGAAAATTATTCTCAAATGAATGACAAGCATGTTGGGACTGAATTTCCCAAAAGTAAAAAGTGGTGGAAAAAATGACCAGGGGATTAGGCTCAATTTGGGTGAATGGGAAGAGCAGACTTGTGCCTCTCTCCTTAAGAGGAATCAAAATGGTGAGTAAATACCGAAACGCCAAGTGGATCTTCTCAGAGAGCACCCTGGGGCTCACCAGAGAAACACGGGGACATGGAAAGCACTGAGGAGAAAAGCCCAGAGTCGGGAGAGCCTCCTAACAAGAGGAGGGGGTGAGTGAGTGAGAGGCCCCCTAACACAAAAAAGGGATGAGTGTGTTAGTCAAGGTTCTCTAGAGGGACAGAACTAACCTAAAGCCTTTTGATTTGTGATGCTGGGATGACGTTTTCCTCATTTACGTCTTTCGTTATTTCTTTGAGCAGTATTTTTAAATTGTCAGTGTATATGTATTGCATCTCTTTGGTTAGATGTATTTCATTTCTTTTCTTTTTCTTCTTTTTCTTTTTTTTCTTTTTCTTTTCTTTTCTTTTTTTTTTTTTTTTTTTTTTTTTTTTTGAGACTGAGTCTCACTCTGTTGCCTAGGCTGGAGTGCAATGGCACGATCTCAGATCACTGCAACCTCCGCCTCCCAGGTTCAAGCAATTCTCCTGCCTCAACCTCCCGAGTAGCTGGGATTACAGGCACGTGCCACCACCATGCCTACCTAATTTTTGTATTTGGTTAAATGTATTTCTATGCGTTTTTTAAAATATAAATTCCCTTGTTCCCCTAATATACATGTTAAAATTCTGAGACCCATTAGCTATAAATGTGAACATAGTTGGAAATAGAGTCTTTGCAAATGCATTTAAGGTATGATCAAGGGATCATAACGAATTAGGATGGGTCCTACTCTGATCTGACTGGTGTCATAATCTGAAGAAGAGAAGAAGAGAAGAGACACACAGAGAAGAATGGATGTGAAAACAGAGGTACCCAGGTAGACGTAGGCACTGAGAAGATGGAGGCAGAAATTGCCGCTATGCTGCCCCAAGTCAAGGAGTGTCTGGACCAGCAGAAAATAGGACAAGTCATTTAAGAATTATTCCATCAACTGGGCGCGGTGGCTCACGCCTGCAATCCCAACACTAGGATGCCAAGGCGGCGAATCACCTGAGGTCAGGAGTTCAAGATCAACCTGACTAACATGCTGAAACTCTGTCTCTAGTAAAAATAGAAAAGTTAGCTGGGCATGGTGGCACACACCTGTAGTCCAGTTACTTGGGAGGCAGAGGCGGGAGAATTGCTTGAACCCGGGACCCGGAGGTAGCAGTGAGCTGAGATTCCGCCATTGCACTCTAACCTGGGTGACGATAGTGAAACTCTGTCTCCAAAAAAAAAAAGAATTCTTCCGTCGAAACTGCATAGTTCTGGTAACACTTTTCTTATGTTGTACTTAGATTTTTAAGTGAGCCGTGTTATCCCTCACATCAGATATTAACACGTTTGTCTTTTGTGGATATGCTAGGATAACAGTGTCAGAATTTCATTTGACCTGTGCCGTAACACTGAAGCCGAAGTAATCATTGCCTCTGAATTAGAAAGACTGTAGGTAGATGCATGAGCTCTCAGTGGGATGTGCCACAGGTGCCTGGTGCTCGTTAGTGAAGACAGCTCTGTCCCTTGATTCCCACCCCTACATTCAGTGAGAACCTATTGGCACCTTGATTGGGGCCATGAAAAAAAACTTTATGTCACAGAAACTGGTAGATACCATTAATAATAGCATTTTAAAGACGTCTTTTTCAGAATCAACATAGCTGTGGTGTCACTTGAAATGTGTGAGTGATGATTCCAAGAGGTGATATTTCAGGAGAAATTACACAGATAGCACCTAAGAAAGAGGGAAGGGCTCATAGGGTCCAGGGAGGGCGTTAAGTCTTCAGGGTGGATTTATGTTTTCCTGGTTGGAATCTGATCTCCTGTTGTCGATTTAGTTGGTGGTTCAGGTTTGGATCTCCGAACTGAAGAGATGGCGACTCAGTAAGGGACATCAAGGAGTGTGACAATGAGGAATAAGGAAGACGGTGTTACATGCCGTGGACCAGAGCACGCAGGTGTGCGGACGTGTGGACCCAACGCTGCCTTGTGGGATGGAGCCTCATGTCTGGGGATGGGATAAAAGGGGGATCCATTCGAGGAAAGTCAACATTCATAGACAAAAAATGTATCACAGTTTAATGATCTTCTAGGAATCACCCCAGACAGTTTCCCTGCACTCAAATATGGATTCCTGTCTCTAGAAGTGACCAGCAGACAGTTCAGATAATGTAGGTCCTAGATTGTCCTCCAGAACTTCCTGGGATCATCAGATCTGTTCCTGAGGCTCCACCACTCTGAAGGGAGCATTGTCATCTCTGCTGTTCACCGGCCGGCTGCATCTTGGGGGCTTCTCTGGCTGTGCTGAGCCTCAAATAGCAGAATCCCGAGGACCACCAGGACCAAGCCAGCCACGCCCATGCAGATGAGATTCTCCACTGTGTAATCCTGTGGGTGTTGGCCTAGGGGTGGTGGACAAAGAGGTCACAGAGGTCACGGCAGGTCAGAATCACCCCGGGACCCCTGGATGTCCACCCAGGGTACCCACCTCCCCTTGACAGTCCCTGGCCCTCTGTGCCAGCCCCATAACCGAGAGCATCTCCTCACTCACCAGTCTTGGAATCTGTCTGGTTTTGTGATGGGCTGAGGGTCTCAGCTTCTCCTGAGAATCAAAACAGTGGAGAAGAGCCCTGAGGCCAGCCTCACTCCTGGGCTCTGCATTCTTCTCTTCCCCTGTGTCTCTTGACATGAGTTTTATGGAGTTCCTCAGAAACCCTTCCTCTGCTGTAGCAGGGTTCCCTCCAGTCTCCTCATTAATTATGTCAGACTTCCTGTGCCCTACAAATCCAAGCTCGGCTCCTGAGTCATTCGGGAGAGATTTCCTGCACCCCAGGAGCTCAGCATCTATAAGGAAAGTGGTCCCCAGTCCAGAAATAACCGAGACCTTGGGTGCTCTCTGTGCATCCTGGGACCTTGTGTGCTCTCTGAGCCCTAACAGGCTGCAAGGAGCAGGTGCAGGACCACAGAAGCCAATGCCCCCAGAGATAAGAGTCATGGCTCCTGGGAATCCTGCTCATCAATGCCGAACCTCAGACACCTCCCTCCCCTCTGACCACCACGGAGGGAACACCTGTCCCAACCCTGGAGTGCCAGGAAGCCACGAGGACCACACCCTTACTGTCCACCCTGCCCTCTGCTGCCCTGAATCAGACCCTGAATATTGGAGGTAGCATTGAAACGAGACTGGAAACTTCTCCTGAGATGGGAGTGGCTGTTTTTCTCATGCATGGGGTCAGGACTTAGAGGTTGGGACCCCCAGAGGCTCTGATTCTGAGGTGGAAACATCAGGAGGGGAGCGGGTGGGGCCTCCGTCTTCCACCCTCAGTCTAATCTCATCTCTGAGGTTCACCCCCGTCTCCTCCCAGCCCTCCCTGTTCTTTACCCTACGGAGACTTCAGGGGTGGGAGCCAGGGGTGGGAGGTCCCGTCTATTTCCACCCTCCCATGGGCTGGACCCTCCCCTGTGGACCCTCCCCCCTTCACTCCCCTCTTTCATTATTACCCCAGAGCTCTGCCGGGGGCAGGGCCTGAGCTGAGCCTTTGAGCTCAGAGAGGACAGGGTCAGGGCCCTCACCTGAGACCACGAGCTCCAGGGGGTCACTGGGGTGAGACAGCAGGTAGGGGTTGGAGCTGAGTGAGCTGTAGCACCTGTAGGTCCCCGCGTGGGCTGAGGTCACAGGACCCATGGGGAATTCAGCCTGGTGCTGCTGAGCTTGGTGCTCTGATCTCAGATGCAGCGGGGGATGGGCTGCCCCCTCCCTGGTCAGAAGGAAAGTGTGGAACTGTCCCCGTGACTGACACAGCAGGGTCACGTTCTCTCCTGAGGCCACCGTGGGGCCCGGCTGCACCGAGAGGGAGATCGTGTCATAGAACTGTCCTGGAGAGAAGAAGGATGGGTGAGGGGCTGCCCCACCTTGTTCTGAGCTGACACCTCTCCAGGCCTCTCTCTGGGACCCTCAGTCTCTCTGTCTCTGAGTCACCCCATCCCTCTCATACCCTCTCTCTGTCTGTGTCTCCCTCCCTTGGGACCCCCGCCCCTCATCCTGGCCATCAACACCTGGGCTCCCCAAGCAGGGCCTGAGCAGAACCTGGGTCCCTGACTGAACCCACAGGGCTCCTCACCTGAGATCAGGATGTCCAGGGGGTCACTGGGGGCCGACCACTCGGAGGAGAGGTTGTGTGCACCGGAGCATCTGTACTGGCCCCCGTGGGACACCCTTACAGGGCCCAGGGTGAAGTTGGCCTGGGAGAGCCCAGCCTGGGGCTGCTGGCCAGGACGCTGGAGGAATTCACGTTCTCCCTCCTTGTATAGAACAAATCTGTAGTAGCCGGCATCAGAGCCACACTGGAGGGTCAGCTTATCCCCAGGGGCCACGACAGGACCCGGCTGCACTGACAGTGACGGCTTCTTAGAAACACCTGGGAAAAGGTGGTCACGGTTTCCAGGAGCGACCCTCAGGCTTCCCCACAAACCCTCCCTCTCCCCCTGGGCCTCACCACTGCTGATCTTCCTGTGTCTCTGGCCCCAGGAGCCCTGAGCCCTCTCGTCCCAACATCATCCCACCTGGCGCTGCCCTGAGATGCGGCTCCTCCCCACCTGCCCGGAGACTCAGGGAACTCCAGGCAATGCTGTGAATTTCTCACCTGGGACCAGGAGCTCCAGGAGATCACTGGGTAAAGACCACACATAGGGAGAGCGTGAGTCATAACCATAGCACCGGTACGACCACCTGCGACTCGGGCTCACGGGGACCACGGAGAAGACGGCCCAGGACCAGCCACGGGCATGGAAGTGGGAGTTGAGACGTTGTGGGTGTTCATCTTCTCCTTCCTTACACAGAATGAAGCCACCAAATGCCACCTGTGAGTCACACTGGAGGGACACGTTTCCTCCTGAGGCCACCACAGGGCTGGGCAGGGCTGAGAGGGTGGGTTTGCTGTAGGCTCCTGGGAGAGAAGGCGGCACCGTGTTAAATGGGTTCCCACCTCCTGCATCATCCCCAGGGCTGGGCTGTGAGAGGGAGACACCCCTGAGAGCCGACGCCCTTCCTGAGGACAGAGCCTGGGGCTGGGACCCCTGAGTGTCCTCTCACCTGTCACCACCAGCTCCAGGGGTTCGCTGAGCTCTGATGAGTGATTGCGGCTGTAATACTGACAGCGATACCGCCCTGCGTGTTCCGAGGTGATGGATGCAATGGGGAAATAGCCCTTCTTGACAAGCTCTCGTTGTATCCGTCTAACCCAGGATGCTGGGTTTTTTTCTCTATATAGATGGTACTCCTGAACCTGAAGGCTCCCCTGACACCTGAGGGTCACAGGACTCCCCTGGGTGATGACAGAGCCTGGCTCAGCCCAGAGAGTGGGCTTGGGAAGGGTCCCTGGAAGGAAACCAGAGATCGGATTCTAAGTCATTTCCCACCCAACAGATCTCAGCTCTTGACGGCAGGACCCTCCAGACGCCCCCATCAGCCCAGATCTGCTCATCCCCGTCCCCAGCTGCACGGGGGTGGCCCCTTGTCCCCAGTGAGGAGGAGGGACCTGGGACAGCTGGGGACAGACTCACCTGCCTGCACGTGGGTCCTGGAGCCCAGACTCAGCCCTGGAAGAGAGTTCCCTGTGAGAGATTTGCCCCTGAAGCCTGAGCAGGTCCTCCCCTCCCCGGGATCTTTGTGAGCCCCTGGGGTCTCCTTATGCACCAGAGTTTGGCTGTGGGGTGAGGCCCCTCCTAGGTTAGAATCTCCCCTCCCTCTTCAAATCTCACCGAGACAGATCAGGACCATGAGGATGGGGGTCATGGCATCTCCTCCCACTGCCCTGCTGTGCGGATGGATGTGGCCTCGGTGCTGGCGGGACAGAGACACACAGGGTGTGGACACTCAGAGGCTGGGCCCTTCTTGTCAAGGGATTTTGTCATCTGCAGCCACACAGGAAGCGGAACTGCCCTCCCCAGGAACCTGGCTGTCATTCCTTTAGGTCTGAGGTTGGGGCAGGCACCAGGCCCTCTGCAGACATTTCAGACAGAAATGGGGTCTTTCCTGACCCCCAGCCACTGTCTGTCTGGTTTATCCTCATCTCCTTGAGACCTGGGATATAGCAGCAAATAGAACTGGTGCTTCCTGTGTCTGCCCTTCCAGATGAGGGTGAACAGGGGCCTCCCCTTCCTTCTCACAGCCTCCCCCAAGGTCTTCCTTCCCCCTCAGCCCGTCCATCGGCTCAGCGTCGCGGGGTCCTTACCATGGCAGTCGTCTCTCCGGCCCTGGAGATGCTTCAGGGAAGATGCAGGTCCATGCTGCAGGCAGACCCAGGTCAGCAGAGACGCACCTGACACCGGGCTGTGCAGCCCAGGCTGAGCTGCGTGTGGCAGTGAGAACACAGGAGAAATGCAGGGTCTACCGTGGTGGGTCACGCCTGGAATCCCAGCACTTCAGGAGGCTGAGACGGGAGGATGGCTTGAGGCCAGGAGCTTCAGATTACCCTCGGCCAAATAGCAAGACCTTGTCTGTAAAAAAAAAAAAAAAAAAAAAAAGCAAAAAAATTAGCCAGGCATGGCAGCTCACACCTCTAGTCCCAGCTACTCAGGAGGCTGAGGTGGGAGGATCACTTGGGTCTGGGAGGCAGAGGCTACAGGGAGCTATGATCACCCCTCGGCATTCCAGCCTCGGTGACAGAGTGAGACCCCGTCTCAAAAGGGGAAATGCAGGGAATAAATAGAATAAAACATATTTGTTCTGTTTCTTGAGTGTGTGTTTCCTTCCTACCAAACAGTCCCTCCCTTGTACTTCCCCTTTTTTCTTCATTGCAACATCACCCACCCCCCTGGGAATGAGGCTCTGAGTCGGTCCTGCCTCCTCAGTGCCCCTTGTGTCCTTGGCCGTCCCTCGGCATCTCCGTCCATGTTCAGGATTTTCAGAACAGTTTTTTAGGTCTGTAATCTGATTCTGGGGGAAGGGAGCTGATTTGTGTTTAATTCCTGATTATCATCCAGGGTTTATGTGACCTTAGACATTAATGTCACCTCTGAGCCTGTTGTCATGAACCCCACTCATCACAGTGGCTGTGGGGTCAGTGGTGCCCAGGACACGGGAGGCTCAGCCATGGTGGATTTCCAGACCAGTTCAGACCGGAGGGTGGGACGGGAGAGGATCCCGGTGTCCGGTTCCACAGTCAAGGAGGATGTTTGACGCCCCCACTCAAGAGCCGACATCGGCTCCAAATACCAAGAAATGCTCCTTGTGACACGTCTGAAATATGCAGATCACCACAGCCACAGGCACAGAAAGAGAAAGAAAAGTTCCCATCATTGAGACGCGTCCCCATCAATGAACAGAGTTCAAAGCTGAGTGGCCACAGGTGTCCGGGACCACCCAGGGTCACTAGGGTGGAGGTTCCCACCTCTGTGTGGGACAGAAGAGGAACCCCGGGTCCTCCCAGGCAGGGAGGGGTCAGGGCTCTGGGTGGGGCTGGAAGCTGTGGCTCCCCCTCCCCTGTGTGTGTGGACAGGCGCTGGGGGGTCTCTGCTCACTCACTGGAGTCCACACTCAGCTCTCAGCCCCTCCCCTGTGTGTGAGAAACAGATTCAGTCCACGGTGCTCAGATATGGGCATCTGCCCCACAGGTGAGTGTGAGGCTGGCGTTGGTCCCATCCCTGCTGGGCACAGTCTTGAGCTGACGCTAAGTTTGGGAGAGTGGGGCAGGAGCAGCGGCAACAATCCCCTTCATCAGGCTGATGCCTGGACAGCCCTGGGAGAAACCTTTTATGAAAGGCCAGGTGCGTGGGAGGAGAGCCGCCCCACAGGAATGACAACCATATGAGGGAAAAATAGGCAGTTGTTGAAATGCATTAGACAGATATCATGGAGTGAGTTCAAGACCAGCCTGGCCAAGACGGTGAAACCCCATCTCTGCTAAAAATAGAAAAATTAGCCTGGCATGGTGGCAGGGGCCAGTAACCCCAGCTACTCAGGAGGCTGAGCCAGAGAACCTGGGAAGTGGAGGTTGCAGTGAGCTGAGATCACACCACTGCACTCCGACAGAGTGAGACTCCGCCTCCAAAAAAAAGACTAATGATCAAGCAGTTCAGAGGGTCAATATTATCAGATGCTTCAGAGAATTCCAGGCTGAGAAATAACAATAAAAGCCAAGCTAATTTTTCCAAAGATTTAACTAGTTTTATATCTGCACCATACATTTCAGTTCACCTTTCAAGTGTCTTCATAAAATCAATTAACTAAAATTAATCCATTAAATATAAATTAGAATAAAATACACTGAAGCTTTTTTTTTTAAATTATACTTTAAGTTCTAGGGTCATGTGCACAACATGCAGGTTTGTTACATACGTATACATGTGCCATGTTGGTGTGCTGCACCCATTAACTCATCATTTACATTAGGTGTATCTCCTAATGCCATCCATCCCCTCACCCACCTCCCCACAATAGACCCCAGTGTGTGATGTTCCCCGCCCTGTGTCCAAGTGATCTCATTGTTCAATTCCCACCTGTGAGTGAGAACATGCAGTGTTTGGTTTTCTGTTCTTACAATACTTTGCTGAGAATGATGGTTTCCAGCTGCATCCAAGTCCCTACAAAGGACACCAGCTCATCCTTTTTTATGGCTGCATAGCATTCCATGGTGTATCTGTGCCACACCCCTGGTGGGGAGACAGGGATGCAGCCCACCCCAGTGTGGACGTAGCAAGCCCAGGCTGGGCTCTCCCAGGCCACCTTACCCCCTGGGCCCTGTGAGTCACTCACCCACGAGATTGTATGAGTGTGTGTGCATGTTGTATGTGTGCATGTGTGTGCATGTGAGATTGTATGTGTGCATGTTGTATGTGCAAGTGTGTGAGATTTTGTGTGTGTATGAGTGTGCATGTGCATATCTGTATGTGTGTGCATGTGTGATTGTGTGTGTATGTGAGTGTGAGATTGCATGAGTGTGTGTAAGTGTGCATGCTGTGTGTGCATGTGTGTGTGTGTGTGATTGTGTGTATGAGTGTGCATGTGCGTGTGTGTGTGTATGCGTGTGTGTGTGCATGTGTGTAGACGGCATGGCACAGATGGTCACGAGAGGTGCCTGGCTCTTCCACCACGTCACCGTGTTGTTGGGGAAACGCTGAGTCGAGGGCTCTCCGACAGCCAGCAGCAGCCTCCGAGATTCTGTAAAACCCTGCCCAGCCCCTCTCTGCTCAGGGCCAGGCAGCCTGGGCTGTGGCAGTGCCAAGGCCCTTGGATACATCCCCAGACTGCCTGGAAAAAAGATGTCCACTGGCGGGAAGAGACAGACAACGTTGGGTCCTAGCGACATAGCGCCCTGCAGCTTTAGTTCTTTAAAGGACATTCTGGTCCTGGCCGGGCGCGGTGGCTCAAGCCTGTAATCCCAGCACTTTGGGAGGCCGAGGCGGGCGGATCACGAGGTCAGGAGATCGAGACCATCCTGGCTAACACGGTGAAACCCCGTCTCTACTAAAAAATACAAAAAGCGGCCAGGCGCGGTGGCTCAAGCCTGTAATCCCAGCACTTTGGGAGGCCGAGACTGGTGGATCACGAGGTCAGGAGATCGAGACCATCCTGGCTAACACGGTGAAACCCCGTCTCTACTAAAAAATACAAAAAACTAGCCGGGCGAGGTGGTGGGTGTCTGTAGTCCCAGCTACTCGGGAGGCTGAGGCAGGAGAATGGCGTAGACCTGGGAGGCGGAGCTTGCAGTGAGCTGAGATCCGGCCACTGCACTCCAGCCTGGGTGACAGAGCGAGACTCCATCTCAAAAAAATAAATAAATAAAAATAAAAAAAATAAAGGACATTCTGGTCCTGTGGAGGATGGGACGGCCCTACGCAGGACCAGGACCCTCTGCTGTCCTCTCACCGCAGACCCGCACCCTGTCCCTTGTCCCTCAGAGTCAGGACGTGAGTGGGTGGGCATCTCTCAGTAGAGCCTGAGCTGCGGACGTGGACACAGCAGAGTCCACTGAGCATCATCAAACTGACGACCAGAATGAGTGACCGAGGCAAAAGTCTCAATCAACGGAGGCTTCTTCTTCTTCTTCTTCTTTTTATTATTATTATTTGAGATGGAGTTTCACTGTTGTTGCCCAGGCTGGAGTGTAACGGCGCGATCTTGGCTCACTGCAACCTCCGCCTCGGGGAGTAATCCCAGCACTTTGGGAGATGAGGTGAGCAGATCACCTGAGGTCAGGAGTTCAAGACCAGCCTGGCCAACATAGTGAAACCCTGTCCCTAATAAAAGTACAAAAATTAGTCAGGCGCAGTGGCTCACACCTGTAATCCCAGCACTTTGGGAGGCCGAGGCGGGTGGATCACTTGAGGTCAGGAGTTCAAGACCAGCCTGGCCAGCATGGTGAAACCCCATCTCTACTAAAAATACAAAAATTAGCTGGGCGTGGTGGCACATGCCTGTAATCCCAGGTACTCGGGAGGCTGAGGCAGGAGAATCGCTTGAATCTGGGATGCGGAGGTTACAACGAGCCGAGATTGTGCCAATGCGCTCCAGCCTGGGCAACAGAACGAGAGTCTGTCTCAGATAAACAACAACAACAACAACAACAAACCCAAAACATTACAAGCACCCATTATCCCAAATCTTCTTAGCAGATTCTCACAGCGCACCTTAGAGCTGGGGAGTAACCCAGCTTTTAAAGTTGAGATCATTGAGCCTCCACCCACTGAGGCTGGACTCCCAGACTCAGCGTTTTGTGAAGAGTTGTGGTTATGATTCCAGCACAGCCACGCACCTGGCTCCAAAGCCTGCACGGCCACAGCTGCAGCATTCCCCTGCCCTGGCCGCGTTTGTAGACAGCACTCCAGGTGAAGAGTGCCTACAGCCAGGGCGGAAGCCCTGTTGGGTCAGGACCACCGTCGCTCCATCAGAGTTCACCAGCAGCAACACCATGGACGCGCTCTCATTGCTGAAGTCCAGCCGCGATCGTGGGCAGACGCTTCTCAGCTTGTGTGAGCCCTGGGATTCCTGAGGTGGTTGCTTTGGAGCCTTTAGTCCAGCTTCTCCCTTGTTCCTGGGGAATGGTTGACCCCATGCCCTAACTCTGTCATTCTGGAAGTTGGAAGTTTCTACTTCACACAGTTAAAGATAAATTCTCTAAATATATAAACACCATGGCCCAATTCTTCTGGCAAAAACAAACAAGCACGCACACCCACAAACATCTTTCCAGACACGTAAGCAAAATCTGCAATTACACGCTCCTCGCATGTTTATGCAGTGTAACCTTCATTTCCGGCAGGTCCTTGCTCCTGTGTTTCTCTGGGAGGCTTAAGGCAACATAAATTTATTCTCTCAGCGTTGTGAAGCTAAAAATCAAGGTGATGGCAGGGCCAGGGCCAGCGCTCTCTCTGGAGGCTGTCAGGGAGAACCCTCCCTTGCCCTTTCCAGCTCTGGGTGGCTGTTGACATTCCCTGTGGCTCCTTCAGACGGAGAGATTAACCGATGAACAGATCCACAGGAATACAGGTAAATAGGTAGGCAGGGAGGATAAATCAATGACTGAATTCACAAACTCTGCAGTATTTGACATGTCAGATTCCATGATTTTTCCTGTTTTCCAGCTAAGTTCCATGAGACCTGTAGACAGATTTATTGGTACAATTTAGTTGAGATAAGTTATCTGCCAGGAGGTGATGGATGGAGCTACAATATAATTACAAATTTGACTAAGCGGCTCTTTAACTTGTAATTAAACCCTTTCAAAAATTTTTTTAAAAAAATGCATGTTAGACATTAAAATGACCATC